GATTTTTTTTTTTTACATTGTTTTACTCTCATTTGAATATTCCACAGTTGTTGAGGTCATATTAAAATCATATTAAAATCATTTTCATACACTGTTCTTTGTAATGGTAAATAAAACAGATAAAACCTGAGTAAAGACAAGAAGATTGTTGAGCTTTATTATATAAACCCTTACAGTCCAATACATTACAGCATGGTTATAAAACAATGCACATAAGTGAATACTGTGCAGCCAGGAGACAACCTCTTTGAAAACTTACTTGACACAACACTGCCACCTTCTGTTTCTCCTAACCAACAACACCAGCAGGACTGCAATAGTGATTTACGAACCTGCATAATATTGATTAAAATAAGTCTTCATGTTTAATCTGACAAAAATAAAGCAGTCATTACATCGTTCACATTGATTTATAGCTGTGAGGACAGAGTCATCTTGATTAATGTGTTTGCTTGAGAAGATTCTATATATCCTTGTCGCTGATCCTAGAATAAAGATTGTCTACCAGTTTAATTTGCTAATGCTATTGTTCTCATTGATTAACAATCGCGGAGCTATACCGAAACCACTGTATAAAAGCATCAGTTACTGTATATACAGTACATAGTAAATATATGCAGAATCATTAATTTTGTTACTGAGAAAAAATCTTGCTGCAACATTGCTGTTTCCCATAAAAATACAGTGAAATGTTTACATCAGTATGATAACAGAGCCATAAAACTGTAAAATTAAAAATATATTGTTCATACAAAAGCATTGATACACAGAGTGTCAGTGTAGATGGTTAATAGAGAGCAAAACAAATTTGTTTTTTGGTCAATGAGATATATTGAAATAATGTGGATAATGATGATAATTGCACTCAGTCACTAAAAGGCTAATTCCGGTACACTAAAATGATTTTTATACAAGTACTGTAACACTACAAAACAACAGATATGAGTAAAGCTAAAAATAAAATATGGACATAAATACATGTGGTTCCACAGCAGTGCAGGATCTGATGCACAGCCAAGTGTTTAGACTTGGCGAACAATGTTGTCTAAGTTTTTCTTCCTTATTCGGATCATCTTCTTCCCGTGAACTGTGACTGAACAACAAAAAAATATATCATTTTAGAAACTACCAGTTAAAATAACGTATTTATAACTATTATAACTAGTTTTGGTTAACAATGAGTACAATTAACAGACTACAAGTACATTCTTTTTACCATTAAAGAAAGTTAACTAATGGATTCCAAACAAAA